GAGTGTGTACTGACAATGAATCTGAGACTATGTTGGAACAGCTGTTCAGTACTCCCTGACTTTCAATGGTCAGTTCTCTAAATAATATCAATCGGTGATCAAACTTAGAACATATGGACGAATAAATAAAGTTCACAGCACATGTGTAAAATAGATGATAGGAAGACAAAGTACATTCAGAAATGTGAATGCACTAAAATGAGAAATATGATGAATATTGTCAATAAAATATAATAAAAGCAAATGTTAGAATGTGATAATGTGAACTGAAATAAAACAACACTGCTTTCGCTGATACTACACCTTTCGAAATTGATGCTCTTCTTTGATGTTTAGTCTTTTGGTTTACATAGTGTATGAAGTGAAGAGACCATATTGGTTCGCAATTCATAACCAACCCAACAAATTTAAATATTCTTGCAGTGATTTTAAAAATATCGCTTCTGTTAGACAAAATGATTTTGTGTTGGGCAGTTTAATTAACGATGGACAACTTCTAGTGGAGATTTTTGGTTACCCACTTATCTCAAAGACTCTCATAAGGTATCTATCCTCTATTCTTTCGTAGAAAAGATTGCTGAAGTGTGTTTTGGCACCTTTGAATAATGCTCGTATACAGTTTCTGTTGTGTTGCTAATAGTTTATTTGAGTGTTTAGCCTATATGAGTTGACTTTTTGAATACTTGTGTTTCTAACTGTCCTGTACTTCTTCACTTGTATATATCATATTGATGAAAGCTGTGTTGATTAGTTGGTAGATCGTTTCTAGATAGCTTCTCTTAATTGTAAGAATGCATCATCCACCTAGTGTACTCATTTTATAAGAAATTCCTTGAAGAAAATCTCATGTTTGAACGGTGAGTCAGTGTTAACGAACGTAAATGCTGTGGCTTGCAGTTATTAGGTAAATACTTAAACATACAAATTTATGGAATATTGGATTCTATACCAATGGATAAATAACCAAAAACCTTCCTTTGTAACCTGAAGGTCATGGGTTTCTATCCGCAGTAAGGCGACGCGTGCGCACAGATGAAGAGTAGCGAGCCAAGAAGAAACGGTCATCCAGTACTTCCTGATTTTTAGCTTGTGGATATTCTATCCTTTGACCTTAGGGTTTATTTGTTACACACGCAGAGCTGTCATTTGTAATTTGAAAGGAAGGAGTTTCAGTTTCTATTTTACCATCACATATATTTTATTAATCATCAAACTATATGAGATAGTATTGAAGTGGCAGACTACTAACGTTAATTGAAAGTGAAATAAAGCCTCTTGTTCGTGGCGAAAATCGAATCAACAGTAGCCTACTAATCTGAGGATTTTGTCAATACTGTTACTATCAACTAACAATCTTCCTGTACGTTTCTAACTTCATACGATTAAGATTGGCATGAGGAGGCCCAGGTAGTCAGTTGTGCAGGTGGTAAATGAACAGTTGAGCATAATTCATTGAAATGACAGCTAGGTGTCACTAGTGATAATCGTAGTGAAATTATGTATTGAACAAATACCTGTGATAACTGGTGCTGCGTCTGTTTTAACAAAATACTTTAATTTATACGACTCATGATAAAGATTTGACCGGAGAGTTCCACATAAAATTCGTCAATGAATGAAAAGTAAACAATTTCAGCGAAATTGAAAAAAGTAATTCCAAAGTTTTGTTTGACAAACTGGTCTCAACTACTTCAGGGAAAATATTCAAAATTATAGTGATAGGACACAAAATATCCACTTCACTAACAAATCAGAAACCGAATTTACCTAATGTAAGCAAAACCGAATAATTGGCATTAGAATAACTAAAGGAAAGTCGATCAAGTATCATTACAGTAACACATAAAGGCAATACAACGATTGCTATGAACTCTATTGATTATGGGAAGAAAGCTAAGAAGCACCATAATACTGGAGCGTTTGAGAAAGTCAACATGACGAAGTCAAGGACTATTTTGAATAAATTGAAGGCTGACACAAGCGAAATATAGCAGACAATAAAAGAGAAACCCGGAGAACCACTATGTTTGTCACCGGCACTGAAAAGTTGTCGTTAGCGTAGATTTTATGGATTACTAAATACAAGGAAACCAGATGTTCCACTATACCCAGTTATGGGCTTTACTAATCGTCGAAGCTGGCTGCTCTCTAATTACATTTCACGAATACTATACTTGTATGAAGTGAAGAATACGTTTGAATTTAAGAACAGAATTCCCTCTGTTCACATTGAAGAAGATGATATAATGGCAAGTTCCGATGTTTGCCCATGTTTACACATGATATCCCCATTAAAGATTTTTTAAGTATTATTTATAATTTACTTCATTCAGACAATGAACTTAGTATTTGATATCCTTTAAACACACATTCAATCACGAAGACGTCGAAACTGTGTTTACACTTCATCTTTAGAGAGGTTCTTTACCGTCAGACAGATGGTATTGTTACGGGATTACTGGCATCTCCATTAGCGGCTTAAATTTGTACAAATTTAATTTTCACGTGTCTACTTTAATTTATCTCCAATAAAGACCAGAGGAAATGGCTGTATAATACTTAACATGGCATATTTATTTGAGTTAAATAACGGTTTCTTTTTTTCAAAGGCATTCATAGTAATAGAACCACTCCATTCACCCGTGACTTATTGTTTGTGTGCTGTTTTCATTGGCTCGACAAGGAGGTTTAGGTGATCAGAAAAAGTGAACAAGCAGCAAGGGATTTCATCATGAGCTGACATCAGTCAATTAGAGAACTATTGGAAAACCTGAGAGTATTGGACAGCTGTTTCACCAGCCTAGTTTGGGACTCTTCACAGTACGCACCCACCACATGGATTCGAACCCAGGACCTTCTGAAAACAAGGCGAATTCGTATAAAATTAAGCCACCGGGACTTGACCCAGTGGCCAGTCCATGAATTCTAATTTCTGCCAATTCGCGAAATAGCGCGACCCCTAGCCATTTGCTTACTAGTGACTTGCCCGATTCAGGTAGGTAGTTACCTGGGGTTCTTGTGAGAAGTCGTGACCAGTAGGGTGAAGCAGGTCGAGTGTGAAGACATATACTCGCCGAAGACATTGGCTAAGGGTTTCGCTATTTCGTGAATTAGCAGAAGTTAGAATTCATGGGCCATTGGATCGGGTCCCAGTGGCTTAATGGTATACGAGCTCACCTTGTAACCAGAAGGTCCTGGGTTCGAACCCTGACGGTGGGTGAGTACTGTGAAGAGTCCCAAACTACGACGAAACAGTTGTCCAGTAGTCCCAGGTTTTCCGGTGGTTCTCTAACTAATGTTGTAACAACAGAAGACAAGGTCCAGCAACAGACCGTTTTATTACGGAAATCAGCACGTTATCATGTATATTTCATGTACATTATTATAGCTTATTCAATCAGACAAACGCAGTCTTCTGATTGGTTGTTTCTGGTTTCTCGGAAAGTTAGGCCATATATCTGCGAATCGTATTTGCCCACGTTAAGTCTGCTGTGATTGGTTGTTGAATCAGCCTTGTTCATATTTTCTCACGGCCAATATTAGCGACCTAGACATTGACGTAAATTAATGTCTACCAGTTAGCTAGCAGCCTGCTCTCACCACAATGTCACCTCATGATGAAATCCTGTAACCAATCAAATCCCTACAAACCAATACTTGAGGCAGCAAGGGACTTTGGCAATGAACCAGGTGACAACCTATTTTTCATCAAGTATACGGTAGGGAATAGACATGAACTGGATATACGCTCAATACACCGTTCACTGACATTATGAGCTAAACCTACCATTGCAAGCCTAATGAGAAGCGGTGATTTGGACGTCCAAATATGAAGTGAAGAAGACAGTATAAAGCTGAAGTGAAGATTTGTGGACAGCAATGCAGCCAGCTGGAAGTTACTGCAATAAGCCGTGTGAAATGAAAGTATTCCGCTGAGTCTCTATATTCCATTTGGGACGCACAAAACGTACAACAATACTGATTACGTACAATAAATATTTCTCCAGATTGATAAATTACTAAAATACCTTTCATACCGTAATTGTAGGTCTACTGATGGTTAACGGTATATGTAGGCAGAAAACAACTTTAAACATTAAATGGTCGGCAGTATTCTCGTCTATTTGAAAGGCATGAAATGAGAAGGCATTAATCACATACAACACTTAATTATTTTACCCTGATGTTTTATAGACTAAACTCTTGGTTTTAAAGCTCACAGTAGTGATCTACGCTATGTACAGCAGTGTAGGATCCACACAAATGACCTCAGCTTGAACGAGTGAAATTGGTTTCAGAATGTATTGCTTTCACTACCTTCAGTATTACTTCGACATAAAGAAGAAACCTCCGAAACCTTACGCAGAAATCTTGGCAATGCAGGCGTAAAAGTGGCTGGCATTCAAACTCATAAACTCAATTAGAAATAAGCTTCGGCAGTTAAAGGATCCTCTGGAGCCAATTAAACGAAACAATTTAGTTTATCTAATACCCTACTGCAATGACTGTTAGGTCAAATACATACGTCAAAGTGGTAGAACGGGGTCATTCAGACTAGTGGAGCACAAAAGCCTAGCAAAATGTAGATTAGTTGACCACAATAAGATAAGAAATCGAGATAGCTGTTCAGCTATAGCACTACATGCAATAACACTCAGTCATACGATAGGATGGGATAAGATGACAGTTTTAAAATCTAATGTAACAGGGTGGAGGTAGCAGGATTGACAGCGGAAGCCTTATTTATCGAGTCAACTGAAAACAAGTGCAGCAGGAATGATTCAACACCTCTTCCAGATATCTGGAAAATTCTAACACCCCTACACAAATGGAAGAGAACAAAGAAAACCATAAAACTCATGTTTTGAAGTCGTCTGATTATAACTGGACAATAATAGATTGTGTTCAAAACGTCATCATGGAACTGCTCCCACTACATTAACAAATAACTTCAACAAAGAAAGAATCCCAACAACCATAATTACACTTTTTTATTGGTAATCAGTACTTTGAAAATGTCATGCAAAACATCAATCTTCAGTTAAATACTTCGAATGAATTATACAAAAAGTTAATTAGAGTACATTGTAAAATTTCTGTAAAGATGTACTGGTGGCTTAATAACCAAGAATGCCTCTTTTCATTGGTTTGTCACCGTGATGGCGTTTCGGTCCTGGATGACTAGGTGGCATTGGCTTGGGATGCTTTGGTGGTTGTTGTGGCTTTTGCTTTTGGCATGAAGCAAATTTTGCCTTCAACCCTTCGACACAACGTGTCAAGACAGTAAGTTGTCGAAGTACCCCCTCAAGTTTGAATAGCACATCACCTTCATGATCATCATCACTACTACTAAAAGACACTGGTTGAATAAGACCACCACCACCAGTTTTTTCATGTTCCCCATGTAATGAATCTTGGAAACTATGCGTATCTCTTTCTTCAACTTCGAGAATCGGTGAACCTCCTGAGTTAGGGAATATTTCATGCATATGTTGTACTGCTTCTTTATCCGGAAGTTTCACTGTTCTACTTTGAACTGTAATTTCTCTCGAGACCCAATCACCAGATTGACTCTCTTTTGATGAGTTACCTCTTGGAGTTTGCTTCACCCCGTTTTTTGAATCAGTGGGCATTTTAGAAGGTTGATTATTAGGGGTTGAATCTTCTCCGTTTTTTGTCGGCAGAGCTGGTGTGGTGCTAACAATCTGGTTTTCTTTATTTGACGATAAAAAATTTTGATCTGTTGATCTTCTTCGCTTACTGTCCTCCTGTTTTGCTTCACCATCGCTGTTATTAATTTTAGTGCTATTATTATCTACTGAGTTGCTTTTTCCACTTTGATCACCCATTACTATGCTTGATAACTGACCATCTACAATTCCTTCTGCAGTCTGAACTACTGCTTCCACATCTTCTGTGTCGATTGCATCACCTAGCTGAGACAACACCGGCTGGACATTTTGTACCAGTCTTTCTTCATCACTAGTCTGTGGTGCATCATTTGTCTGCTGTGCGTCACCAGCAAACAATCTACTGTCTTCTGCGTCATTCACATTGTCTCTTGACGTATCAACATCTCCATCGGTTTTTTTATCAGCTGATGGTGTCACCTGCGTACGCATATCTGCCGATGTTTCATCATATGAATTGTCGTCATGAGTATCGTAGTCCAAGGAATCATCACTAGCTGTCTTGCCATTCTCGTTTTTAGTAGCTAAATCATTTTCTCTACCTCTTCTTTGATTGTTATCAAATAGTATTGTGTTATTGGAGTTGTGATTCTCAGATCCACTGTCTCTGGGATGATTTCCGCCTTCGTATCGAGGCGAGTAAGGCTCTAGTTCATCACTTTCTTCTCCATCATCAACCACTTTACTAGACCCATTCTCATCGTCTTGTTTCTTACCTTGGTATTGATTTGAATCTAATATGCTGGCAGGTATATCATCATTAGGATAGGGTAAGGTTGAAGGAACACCTTTTCCATCTTTTTCCGATCTTTGTGGAGTATTTTCCATACTGTCACTTTCATTTCTCATACTTCCACCATCAAGAACTTCATCAGAGGGCTCCTGTTTCCCCTTTATAGCATCTTTTTCTTGCATTGCGCTCTCAAAAGCTCCGGGTATCATACCTAAAGCAGCTCCAAAATCTCCAAATGACATGAAAGATGCACCGACGACGTCTTTTGATTTCTTAGTATCAACCTCCTCACCTTTTACTCCGTCGTCTGTTTTATTTGCTGGTTTGTGTTCATATGAATTCAGGAGATTTTCTGAAGGTTTACTGTCACGATGCTTTGTTGCATTGTTCTCATTCTAAAATTAAAAAAGAATGACTTAACATTTAGTCAAGTAATTCGACAATCTAAAATGTTATGTCTATTAAAAGCTTATATCAAGAAAAACAGCAGGTTGAAAAGGAAATGGCAAAGTTCTACAATAGCGTCCCAAGAGATTCCGACGCATGAGTGACCTTGGGCTGACCAATCAGAAAAATGAGGGAATTTTGCACACAAAAATCACGTACATTTACATAAAAAAGCATGAAACTACATTAAACAGGGTATATTTCTCTGATATGAAATAAATATATGTCCAAATTATAATGGGGAGTGATAGTTTTTAAATTAAACCAATTTCTTCACATATATTCACCCAGGTGACTTAAAATAACTTGGTTTTGAAAACCGTTTATTGCTCCTATCCTATTTTCTAATCTTCCCCAGAAACCCTTTATTGAATCAGTATGAGTGCCTGTTCTGAGATCGAAGAAATCTTCGGAATGATTAACTCGGTGGTGTACGTATCCTAAATCCGAAAATTGGTTATATCCAGGTGCCAGGCAAAACGAGTCTTTGAATAATAGGCAGAAGAGTGTCGGCACTCCTGTCTGGAATAAGTTTAATGAATCCTTTCCGAATTTTGGTGCCATAAATCCCCAGTACCCAAACGTTGTTAGTTTTAGCACGTCCGCGATTGTATTTCCTCTTTCCAAGCACTGTTTTTTTCATGTGAACGATAACACGGACTCCTCCCAACACTTGTGAAATATTGCTCATTTTCCATGATGCTAAATCTCAACAAAACTGAAAGCACTGCACAGTGGACGTCAGAGTATTTTCTGTCTTAGCTGCAGTTGACCTCACTACGGACTTCGAAATCCAGTAATGGCAAAGAAACAGTATATTCGTCAAAGAAAGATGCGATTTCGCAAAGAAAGTTCCTAGAAGGCAATTAACTGAGTGTCACTTACCAGTACAAACACTTGTTCGTTTCCTACATTCCGTACATCTAAATATATATCCATCAATGACCTGTGAATATGGTTGCAGGCTCATTGAAATACCACAACTACATAGATCAGAATGTCCTATCAATCCATTATCCAGACAATATTTAGAAACGTGATCTGGGTGAAATTTGCAACTGAGCAGATAAACAGCGTTTATTTTCGTGCCAGAATAATCGTAAGATTCTTCAAACAACGACAGACATGCGTTCAACGTCGCTAGAGCGTTCGCACTCCTGGGACGCTATTCTTGAACTAGGGTAAGGGAATTTTGCAATGAGCTGTCTTTACCTTATGGTTGTGTGCCACTCACAGCAGTCAGTAGTGCTTACCGCCTAGCCAGATTGAGGTGGTCGAAACACAGCATGGCTGTTTTGCTTGTCTACCGACGAGCTCATCAGCGGTGTGTGCGGCTTTTGACTCAAGAGGGCTGAATCGGTTCAAACCACCCAATTCCTTGGTAACCAGATACTTGGTCGAACTTGTCATGTCATAAATCAAATTCTTACCGTCATTGGTTGATATCAGTGGTATGCAACTACTTATCCTAATCAACCAGTAGTATATAGTTTTATGCAAAATTTCCTCGCCTTCTTGATTTCCATTCACGGTATCAAGTAGATCAGAAATAGGGGATCAGAAGAACTTGGTTTCTAAAGAGGACTACAGTGGAATTGTGTAAATTGCAAGCTGCTAACCAATTTTCAAATTGTGAGCTTGATTTAGACAATTTTGGATTTCACCAATGATGTTTCCTTCTTACACTAACCAATAAAATCTTTAAGAGTTCTCGCTTCAGTCAGTTTTGCACTAATCTATACCATTTCGTAATGTTGGAAAAGATCTACAAATTAGATGGAGGATTTCAGCGCTTCAGTCTTCTTTGATATCGTAATTGTAAAGCGTTTATTATCCTTCTAAACTATATTTTTAAAATGAAGTTACCTCTGAAAATGTTGTTTAAAAGATGACTGAGAGCTTGGTGGCTGAACCATCCATCTCAGAGAATAAAACAACACTAAACAATAGAAATTTAGTACAATTAATGCTCGCCAAAACTGGACAGATCATAAAACAAGAGCAATGCTGAATGAAATCCAGTGGACCAGTCCTACCTCGATTCTACGGCAGACTCAAAATACACAAACCGAATATCCTGTTACGACCAATTGTATCACTCCCAGGAGCTCCAAAATATAACTTATCCAAAGAATTATACAGAAAACTAAAATTCCTAACGGAATCTTGTGATCACTCCATCAACTCTGCTATCCAATTCCTAGAGAAAATCAGAGGCATCCAAATAGATGAACAAGAAACAATGATATCCTTCGACGTCACAGCATTATATACCTCTATCGGACAAAACCTAGCAAAAGAAACCATGGAGCAATTACTTAGCAACGACGAACACCTCCCACAACAATCAAAAATGCAACATATAAGCTGGATGGAATGCAAAAACCAATGGTTAACAACATATTTCCAATTCAATGGCGAAATGTATGAACAAGTCAAAGGGCCACTGATGGGATCGCCAATATCAAGTTTGATTGCAGAAGCAGTGATGCAAAGGGTCGAAAACGTAATCCTACCAAAGATCGAACCCAAGATTTGGATACGATACGCCAACGACACATTTGTACTAATCAAAAGAAACCAGTTAGATAAAACTCACAACTTAATAAACAACGTCTTCAACAACATCAAATTCACAAGAAAGGAGGAATCCGACAACCAAATCCCATTTTTGGACATCTTAGTCAAACAAACAACCACAGGGGAATTAGAAACTCAAGTTTATAGAAACTCAACCCACACAGACCAAATCCTGAATTACAACAGCAACAATCCAATAACACACTAAAGGAATTGCATACAAACACTATTCAAGAGGGGAAAGACTCATCGCAGTACTCCCACCTTAAGGAAGATTGAAGAAAGATATCTCATGGATGTCTTCAAAAAGAATGGATATTTACGGAATTTCATCAAAAGACATATACCCCCAAGCCAACCTATCAAACCAAAAGCCCCCAAGAAAAGCACAAAGAAAATCGCCCTACCATATATAAAGGACATCTAAGAAATCACTGCAAGACTCTTCAAACCTTTGGAATTGACATCTCACACAAGCCAACAAAATCACTTCACTCAGCTGGCTCTGTGTCATCTAAAAGACTCAACAACGAAAGAAGGTAACACCAACATCATCTACAGACTAAATTGTAACAACTGCGAAATACACTACATTAGCCAAACAAGGGGCGTCCCCTTCGTCTTCGTATCCACGAACATAAACTAGCCGTCAAAAGACATGACATTCAATTCGTCATATGACTACACGGACATCAATTCGACTGGGACAACCAACGCTCAAATACTAGACAAAGGAAACACCAAAAATGCTACAGAATTTTTAGAAGCCTGGTATTTCAGTGAATCGTCAGTCAATAGAAACATCGAGATAGACAAAATTTATCAACCGATAAGAAAGAAACCTCACACACAAAGGGTCAAAATTCAAGTCAAAGAAACAATCAGTTCCAATTCAAGTAGCCTAGGTGGTGTGAAAACACACAAAACAACCAATCACGTTCAACATCACCCATCAGGAGAGATGACTAATAAAATCGTGGAGAAATCTAAAACCTCACTTCAATGAATTGAAGTATGCCCTGAAGATGTCGCCTAGTAAGGGGTAATGAGAGCTTCGCAAATTAACTATCCAGCTCGAAGAACACAACCACCTCAAAAAAAAATTAATGTCAAATTTCGAGTGGCATCCGAATAGGAAATGAAGAGTTGGTTTTCCAAGGGTAAAATGGAGTGGATTGTATAGGCAAACTGGAATATTTACAGCTCTAAAGTTTACTGACCACATTTTTGCCTTAAAGCAACTCCATGATTATTCAAAGTACAATGTAAAGTTAAGTGAAGTAAAGACTTCCATGGACTTAATACACCAGTGAATATTTTTTTTTTAAGATGGTTGGAAATAATTGGCCGCAGGAAGCCTTGGACCTAAGTTTCGTGCTAGTTGGCACTCATCAGCAAGGCGTGTCTGCAACCTTGAAGGAACTCATGTCCCTTCTGAGATTCAAACCCGCGTCACCAGCAAGTGTTGCAGTAAGACGTTACCGCTAAACTATTCCGGCTCGCGAATGGCCTCCTGTAGGACTGTAGTGGATATTTTGATTTGACACTAGTAACTAGTGTGATGTGACTAGTCCTCTCATTGGTGCAGACTGAATTCTATTAGTTCCTTCACGTTTGCAGATACGCCTTGCTGATGAGTGCCAACTAGCAGGAAACCTACGTCCAAGGCTTCCTGTGGCCGATTACCTCCAACCATCTAATATCAGCAAATCAATGTGCACCGTGATTGGGAGCTACCTAGAATGGTAGCCACATCACAAACCTGACTGACAGAATTCAGTCTGCACCAAAGAAAGGACTAGACACATCACACGATTTACTAGTGTCCAATCAAAATTTTTACCTTTTTCTTTTATGAACCGTGTTCATATGTGTGTGTTATTAATTCAATGGTTCAATATTCGACATTGAAAGTCACATGTTTTAATTAATGCTAAGAATATTTAATATGCACACAAAGATCTGAAATCAGTAGTCGCCTAATTAAATAGGAAATAATGAGTAATTACTAGAAGCAATTACTTACAACTGTGAAATAATTTTTGAGATATTGTCTAGTGGTGGAATCCAGAATGCATATTTCGTCCTATCTGGGACTCGTCATCCGGATACATTCCTCAGTGCGTGATAGCGTTCCCACTGAGGTTCAAACTCAGTACCTATCTTCCCAAACGCCAAACAATATCCACTAGACTCCTTGGACTATGAAAGCTGCCTCTTTTACATTGGGGATAAGTTATCATTTAATTAAAATTTAGACTTCATCGTCGAATGATCAGACTGAGACGTTCGACCTCTGGTGACATGTCGGCTCCCTTTTCGGGATGCTTCAACGATGTCTAAGGATTCAACTAGAAGTAATTTGCTG